GGGTTTAGGGTTTAGGGTTTAGGGGTTTGGGGTTTGGGGTTTAAGGGTTTAGAGTTTAGGGGTTTAGAGTTTAGGGGTTTAGGGTTTAGGGTTTAGCGGTTTAGGGTTTGGTAAGCTGAGGGTGCGTGGATTGAGGGCTTCCGGGACTGAACAAAGACTGCACACCGTCATCCCAGTTGCACCACTCCTACTATAGGATCCTTACTAATTAGAAGAGGGTTTGGGGCCCATTATCCTATATAAAGAACCCCCCAAAATAGTATAGGTTGTTATTAAGCCTATATTGCACCCCAACTCTGAAGCCCTCCATCCTCAAACCCTCAAACCTCAACCAATAAAAACCCTAGAGCCTGGAAAGCCGCAATCATGACAACTCGCCTGGCCCCAATACTGCTCGGCATGTTTGCTGATTTCTTCGGAGGACCAGAGGAATTCCACCTCAAGATTGAAGGGTTGATGCAAGGTGTAGTGAGTTCCAGCCTTACTTACAGCCCTACTCGCATCACCCTGATGCTGCTAGAGAAGCTCATGCACGCGATCTACTGCCCCTAAATAGTCTGAGGACGACAACCTGCATGCGAAACGTGGACATGATGCGGACATATGAAGGTCTGTGGTTTAGGGTTTAGGGATGTTTAGGGTTTAGGCAAGCGTCCCTATCCCATCGTATTCACCGGTAACTAAGGCCCAAAACTGAGAATTCCAGCGGCTTCTGAGTCAGTCTCAAGTTAGGGTTCAGGGTGGGCAGTCTTTGTTGCCTGAGCGTCCATGTAATTGTCCGTATGAGTATACTTTGACCCCAAAGTACCTAAATAGGGACCACATAAAGGCCTATGTATCTACCATTTGGGTACACGCACCCGCAGGGTTGTTTCACAATACGGTTGCGCGGATGCACATGTCATGCTTAACCGCGCACTTGAAACTAAAACTTGCTTCGGCTCTAATGCCTACCTTAACCTACCAGAACCTGCTTTTTGTAGGGTCCCGATACATTTCATAACTGATAGGGTTGATAGTAGGAACCTACAAGAAAAAACCTAAACCCTAAACCGTGGCTCCAAAAAAGTAGGGTTTTGGTACCCCTAAACCCTAAACCCTAAAGCTCAAAGCAAACGAAATGTTTCTCGAAATCCTCGGCTCGCATGCTACAGAACATCATCCCTAGACCAGCAGAACCCTCGGGTTTAGGGTTTAGGGTTTAGGGCTTTGGGGGATTGGGGTGAGGGCTTTAGGGCTTTGGGGTTTAGGGGTTTAGGGCTTTGGGGGATTAGGGTTTAGGGGATTAGGGGATTAGGGTCTAGGGCTTTTTTTAGGGCTTCAGGGTTTAGGGGTTTAGGGCTTTGGGGGATTGGGGCTTTAGGGCTTTAGGGGTTTGGGGTCCCAGAAGTTTAGATGCAGGTTTCTCAGGGTCCAAGAAGGGTTTAGGGCGGAGGTTTCAGGCATACGGTTGAGTCATGAGGGACCCCCAAAGAAACCCTAAACCCTAAACCCAAGGAACCCTAAACCCAAAAAAACCTAAACCCAAGGAGCCCTAAACCCCAAGGAACCCTAAATGAGGGACCCCAGCCAGCACCGCCAGGACTCCCCACCCTCGACATGTCCATGCCAGTGGCTTTCCAAACCTCCACGAAGTACCTGGCAGAGGGGATCCTATGAAGGGAGCTCCGTTCTTCAAAAGTGCTTCGTAGCAGTGGTTCTGGTATCTCCTTTGGGAGGGTCGGAAAACTACTAAGCAAAGCCCTTGGTCTCTTTGGTCTTTTGAAGGGGGTCTCAGACGTCTTGGCTTTGAGGCCCTAAACCCTTAAACCCTAAACCGAAACCCAAATGTACCAGGACCCTTCGGCTTGAAAGTGCTTTTCGAGTATGGTGCCCCCCGTACGTTACGGTTTTGGGTTGGGGTTTAGGGTCCAGTACCCCTTATCGGCAAAACTCAGGGCAAGAAGCCTACTCTTCCTAGGTTCCGGGATTGTATGTACCCCCTCTGCCACTAGCTTTATTTGTCTTCGAGCGTAGCCAACTCCGGGAAACTCACATAGTTCGGGGTACTTTAAAAACTTTAGTACCAACGTAGTGCGGGATTCCGTCCATCAAAACTTGATATAAGTAAGACGCGTCGGAGCAGGCCGACGTGAAGAGTAGTGCAGGACAGCGGGGGGAGTTGGTACTGCGGGACGGTATACTGTCTAAACCCTAAACCCTAAACCCTAAACCCTAAACCCTAACTGTCTCAAAACGGGTTCAGGCCCTTGAACTGCCAAAAGATCAGGGGACTTAGGGTCACGGTGACGGTTAGGGTTTAGGGTTTAGGGTTTAGGGTT